GTAGTGTGATGAAGTTGTAAAGATAACCTAAGTACTTAAATATGAGTAAAACTTGTATTTACTACTCTCTTTTCAGCAATGATGTAGACATGGAAACAGATCACTACTCCAATGGAGTTGCTGAGACTTCATCCAATGGCTTCCTAAATGGTAGTTCTAAACATGATCACGAAATGGAAGAATGTGACACAGAAATGGGTCTGCAGTGATATTTCTTACATTTTTATTAAGTGATGGCAACAAGGTTATGTTTTTACTTGCAATGCTTCCCAACTTGAAAATTAGGGTTATTAGCTCAAATCTTTAATTTTTGATTGTTTTGCTGTTATTAGATGTATATTTTAAAACCACTGATTTAGGTGGTCCAATATCAGTGTGAGAACAGGGGAAATGGGTAACTCATGGCTACTGAAATTAGCATTAATTTTTAAGGAAGTACCTCTGAGGAGAAACACCCAGTTGTGTAGCACCCTGTGTTTGAGTTGGGAAATTGCTTCTCCCTCTTCTCATTCATGGTTCTCATGGCATCTTTGTGCTCCACAGTAGGCACAGAAATTCTAAATCTTTTATATTGAAATGCAAAGTGCTAATATTTAATGCTCAAGAGTTTTATTAGGGAGATGTAAAAATGAAAAATTAACTTTTTTCCCATGTTTTCCACCAAAAAAATACCAATCTATATAGTTATAAGGTAAAAATTAACTTTGTTTTACTTAATTTGCTTTATATTCTGTCATGCCTATTGATGTTGGTGACAAATGAGTATTTAAATCCCCTCTGCTTGCCCTTTGTGCAGCTGCAGAATTGGTACTCAAACAATTGATTTAAGCAGATGCCAGTTAATGTGTAGTTTAAATGAAATGTGCAGCTGGAGACCTTCAGAACGCAGCAGTGCGTGCAGAGAGCTGTGAGCGCTTCCCAGTCTGGGGCTGCTGCTGATCCTGCAGCTTTGCTGGGAAATGCAGGGGGACAGCAAACGGCATTCTCCTACAGCCCTGCAAGGAGGAATGCAAGCTGCCAGACCATTCTCCCTGCATTATGCTCTGAAGCTGGATAATAACAGGACCTTATTTCTGTGACAGAAAACCCAAAACAGGTCCTTGCTCTCTTGCAGCCTTTTCTGCGGAGACTTCCTGTGACAGACACGCAGCAGCTGCACAGGGCAGGGAGTTGTGCTTTTTGTCGTCTCCTGCCTTTGGAAAGTCATGTCTTAGATGAGGCTGAGCTAGGGACAAACACCACTGCTTGAAGATTTGTGGGTGCTTCACCTACACTGGTTACCCCCCGACCCTCCCCCCAGGTTGAGTCTGGTGGTTTTTCACTTTTTGAAATATTGATATATTCTCCTTAGTGCTGTGTATTGAAGGTTAAGTAGGCAGGTATCTTCCAGAGGTGATACACTTACATCTAAGGGAAAAAAAAGTAGCCAGGTAAAAATCCTGTTTTGAAAGAGTAGTAAAAATATATCACTAAATAGCAATGTTAAAGTCAGAAAGAAGAGTGGATTTGTAACTGAAGAGTCTATCAAAATGCTCATTTTAAAACTTGATTCCATTGATGAAAAAAAGACAAGGAATGGTTAAATGCCTTTCTTTTAATGCGGTGCTTTAGGTGTAAATTTTTAAAAAGCAGGTTTTTCAAAGAAGCCAAGTGTTAGTTTACTATTCGTAAGCTGCATCAATATCTTCTAAAATCACTAGTATTGGGAGTATTGTATGAAACAGTAAACAAATCAGTTGTAGTGTCCTGCTTGATTACAAAAGAAGCCTGAAATAGCCAAATGATTTAAGATAATGTGTTCTGCAAGGAGTATGAACAGTCTAAATTATTGTCTTGTAGCAGAGTCCATCATGGCTGTTGAGGAAGTTCGGCATTTTTTTACACTCTAGTAGTTCCCAATTTGGTGTATCTTCAGAAATGCAATGCCAAAGAATTAAAAAAGTTAGAACTGTGGGACTTCTGTTGTTTTTAAACTCCCTTAAAATTTTAGGGTAAAATCTGGTTTACCATCTAGTTATTTAAAATTAGCCCTTGCAGATAACAGCACATGCTGTGACGGCCTTTGCTATTAGTGAATCAGATCTCTTAAATGTTCCTGAGGAGCAGTTCCCCGGTGTGTGGTACAGGAGCACGTGGGCTCTGAGGCTGACCTGCTCTCTCTGGGCAGGCAGCTGTGTTTGGGTGAAGTCAGCTTGTAGATCCATGGGTTGTTACCCTCGGCCCTGCCCGTGGTGATGATGACGATATCGTTTCTTTAGAAGTAGATTCAAGTCAATTAAGACGCCAGCTCTGTGGTGGCAGCCAAGCAGCCATTGAAAGGATGATCCATTTTGGAAGAGAATTGCAAGCAATGAGTGAGCAGCTAAGAAGAGAATGTGGCAAAAACACAGTGAATAAGAAAATGCTCAAGGTATGTTTAATCTTCTTGTAAAGGTGCATAATTGTGCTGCCCAGCAGGAGCTTCCCACAGCATGTTGTGCTGGAATACTGTTCTGCCTTAAATTCTGCCATTTTTCACGTGTGTCAGAGCAGATGTTCTGGTCAGCTGTGGTGTAGCACTGTCTTCTTTTTTGTCTGTGCTCAGGGAAGATAATTTTGTGCTGTTACAGAGTTAAGCACTTAATCAATTTCTGTGTTTTCCTTTCTCTCATTTGTGACCACATAACTTGCCCTCCAGAATCAAAGTTCTGGTTTTGTCTTTTTGATCTTTCGTCAATGATAAATGAACCGCAGGGGGATTGGTAGAGATGCCCAAAATCTGCATGTTAATTAGTTTGCTCTGGAAAAGAATTCTCCTGCCAAAGGCTGCATGCAGTTTTCAGTCTGTTTTATCTTACCCCATCAGTTAGTAAAATAATGCTACCTTTTGCCTTGCTCTTGGGAAAAAAACCCTAAATGGAGCAAGTCCTGTCACAATGTCTTTTTATCTTTTTGTATTGATGGATACTGACAGTCACCTTTGTGATTCTGAATCAAAACAGTTGAACAAACTATCCCTTCTTTTCACTAGTAGCTTGTAGCTGTAGATGTAATCGAAGTCATCTTCCCACAGGATGCATTCAGTTTGCTTGCATATTCTGATCCCTGGAGCAGCCCTGTTGGAAATCAGCTTGACCCTATACAAAGAGAACCAGTGTGCTCTGTGCTCAATAGTGCAATACTAGGTAAGTGTGGCCTGCTGGCTGCCCACCGTAAGGACAGCAGTGTTGGGTGCACTCTTCTGGGAAGAGAGGGATCGTTTTGGAGGGTATGTAAAATAACAGGTACTTGCCTGCTGTTGTAGTTCAGAGCAAAATTGGCCTGTTCAGTAACAGTGCTGTGCAAGGTCACGTTGTTGCTCCTACTTTGTGGCTTGCTCTAAGAGTAAACTTGCAGATGAATGATTTAAGTAGTTTAGATGTCAAGTTTTCAGTGTGTTATTATGAAATGATTCAGGTATTTTAACTGCACTGTGATTCTCTTTCAGAGACTCACAATCTGCCAAAGCAACCCCCGCTTGCCCTGGCCATGGGACAGGCGTCACAGTGTCTAGGATTGATGGCCCGGTCAGGAATCGGATCCTGCGCCTTTGCCACAGTGGAAGACTACCTACACTAGCTATGCATTTTGAAGGTCTGAAAGGCGTTGTGGCATATTCAACATGGAAAGTAGACCAGCTCTGCTGACTGGAATTTGGAATTTTAATTATGTACTAAGGACAAGTCTGTCGCTTTATGTTGCTTCCTAGTTTACAGCATGATGCAAATGATTTCTAACTTAGTGTTAGGAGATTTCCATCTTTAAACCTCTTAGACAACTAAGAGTTGAAAATATCACTGGTAACGTCAGACATCCAAATTGACAAGTACCAATCCTTTGAACGATTGTCCAAAACAAACCAAAAATCCTGCTACCTTGTGGTGGGACGGAAGACTAGAAAACATGGATGTATTAGCATGTGGGTGATGTAAACGTCAAGCAGGATGACTTGCCAACCTCCACCCCCATTGTTACATAGTTCAATCAGTGTAATTTGCAAAATGCAAATGGTTTGGATATATAGTGTTGATGGGAAGAAATGATATTTTTTAATGTGTACTGTAAAACTTGAATTACTCAGGAGCTGAGTGAATACGTTTGTTGCTACTTACAATCCCAACCTGTTGATCTTAGTAGTTTTTTGTTTTAACATGGTCTTTTCAACTTCGTTTCCTTGTTTAACTACAGACAGCTTCTGTTGTGTAGGCTCACCAGTTTAACTGTTGTATTATAACAGTATTACATGTCAACACAGTGTGGTTATGACCTATTTATATAAAAACCAAATATTTAGTCAATTTACAGTCTTAATTTAATCTTTGTACACCTTGCATTTTTAAAAGTGCTTAAATAGTACTATATTGCAATAAAATGTAGTGATATCATAATTAACCAGCCATTAAAAACTTACATCTACATCCACAGTAGCATGGACGTGTATGCTACATTGTCGTGTTCTAGAGCTCCATCCTAGAACAGCAGTTCTTGTGGAGACCTCCTCGGGGAGCTGCCACCTCCCCGAGGAGCTGGGCTGGTCCAGGTGAAAGGTTTTGCCATGTTCTTGCCACACAGTGATCTAGCTACCAGTGCAGGAAGCTTACTCAGGCCTCCCTGCAGATGGGGAAAATCCCTTACTGCTGGAAAGTAATCCTGAGGCTGGAGAGAAGTGTCCTGCTGTGGGAGCTGATTTAGTGATTCTGCTGTTAGGGTACAGCCTTTCCTTAGAGACACACGTCACTGAGGCAGCAGGAGTGACTGCCTGCTGTAAGGAATGCAGCATCCACAACAGTAGGTACAACATTGCCGATGTTTATTCTCTGCAAAGGCATTGCCTCACGGAGGCAGCTCAGCAAGCCTGGTCCTAGCACCAGCTGTTCTACAACACTGGTCTGGCTGCTCTGTAGCTTCCCCAGGAACTTCTGAAAGGGGAGAGGAGAGTACAGGGAAGTTCCATCAGGCTCAGCTCAGTGCCTTCTGCTGAAAGCAAAGTGATGATGAAGTGGGAAAAACACCTGTGTTGTGTTGAGATCAACTGTCACTAAAAGTCCTTAGCAGCATCTTCTGAAAAAGCTGTCTTCAGACTCCACTTTTAATATGTGCTGCCAGCCAGCGTTTCTTAAACCTTGCTGCTTTTTCCTTTTTATCTTGCCCTTAAAAAAAAAAAAAAGCTGTTAGTTACCATTTTACTTAGCCCCCATGTGCTGGAGAAGCAGCAAGCCCTTGGCAGCTGCAGCATTTCAGAGCAGAACAACCACCTCAAGCACTGATAAACTTTCTACAGTATTTTATGTGCCCCAGGTGCATTTCACTGGCCAGGAGCAGCAGTTTGCACCAGCCTCCTTAGGAGGGTGGGGGGAATACAGTGGAGCTTGCAGTGATGGAGCACAGATGGAAAGCAGGCCCTGCTAGCTAAGGACCAGTAACTTTTCCCTCTGGTGTTCGTGACCCTCACAGAATGTGTGGGTGTAAAACTGTCCCTGTCCATTATGGAAATGAGGAGAAATGGGTGCTATTTCCCTGTGCTCACATAGAGGTTCTGGGATCTTGGTATCTTTTAAGTCTGAGATACATCTAAAATGCCTTCCAACAGCTCAGAGAGTGGAGGCTGAAACAACAGCTCCTTAAGTATTTATTTCACTGAGCAGCCCTGGCTCTAATACAAGAGCTGTCTCTTAACATACCAAAAATGAGGTAATTTTTTTTTTTAGTTGTGTCTCATACACCACCCCTGGGGGTGTGCTCATGACACCTGCTGAGACTGCAGTGCTCTACTGCCCTTCCCTTACTCTCCAGGTGCTTGGAGTTAGAGGATCACAAGCCAGGATGCTCTAGCATGGAAACCATATGCAGAAAACAATACCTACTCTGACTTTCTATACTCACCCCAAGACTTGTCCACAAACTGAACAGCAGCTTTTTTGACAGGGGCTCTCTTGTTTGCAAGGGAGAAAAATTCATTTGCTGCAATGGAGACGAGTGTTAATAGCAGAGTTCAAGGCAGACAAGGCTCCACCCAAGAGCAGCAGTGCTTACCTGGTACCCGGTTGGTGTGTGGCCCGTAGAGCTGAGCATTTAGGAAGTCTTTGGCCAGCTGCTGGTGGAGGCCTGTGGCACTGTGGTCCTTCAAGCACACAGCCACATAGTTTCTTTTTGTCCTATCAAAGAGAGATGTAAATCCCTGAAGCGTGGCTACAGAATCCAGAACAACAGACACTGCTGACAAGCTTTGCTACTTGAGCACAGCAGCAGCCAGTGATGGTTTCTGATACTCAGATGAGCTTTGTGGCAGTATTAAAAAAATAAAAAGCTGGACCAATACTCTCAAGCTGTTGTCCTATGCCTTTGTGTGCCCTGAGTAGTTTTCTTGGGTGTCCTGAGCTCATCCTACCAGAAGCTAGGGCAATTACTCTCTAGGGCCATCAGTGACAATGAAATAAAGAGCAGAGAGAAAAACAGATTGAAATGCAGGAATTTGGTGCTCAACTACCCCACAACACAATGTGTACTGCTGTGCTTATGACTGCCCAGCCATCTCATAGCAGTTACATATATGTAATATGCAAAAATTATTTCTATCTTATATATATATGTATGCACACATATATAAGTATGCTAAAGCAGAAGATATTAAAGGTGTTTTTAGCACATAAATATGCTTTCAATCAGACAAAGGATGGGGGAACATGAAGTGCAGAAGAGGGCACAGCCATGCAGAACAGACCTTCCCACACCAGGCAAAATCATCTTCTCCTCTTACCTGGCACCCTTCTTCCTCTTGCCTTTCTTCTCCTGCACTTCAGCTTGGCCTTGCTCCAGCTCTACAGCCTCAGCTTCAAGTTCTTCATCTGGAGTAACTTGTAAATGAAATTTCCCAAAGGTTACTAATGAAAACCAGTCAGTGAAACAGGACTTACAACAAGCAGAATTTTTCAGGAGAACTGACTAGGATGAACAGCTGTAAGAGGGAGGGAAAGAAATATGCTGAGGGGATCAACCCAAAGTACTGCTAGCCAGCTTTCCTCAGCATCAACAAAATGGGATTCGTCACTGGACAAAAATTCAATGCAACACAACAGCTGTGGGTAACCCATAAAGGGAAATCCAACTCTGGCTTCAGTCTTGCTTCATTCTCAGCTCATCTCTGCTATGTCAATACAACAGATCTTTTTTAAATAAAGACAATAAAAAGTAGCAGTTCCATCATACAGCAGCATGTGAGATTTGGATGAGAAAATATTTAAATAAGATTTTTTCTGAAGTACTTCGAAGTACAGATGAAGCAAAAACAACACTTGTAAACACTCTAGACTCTTGATTTTGTAATTCTGAGTTTGAAAAGAGTTACTTAATATCCTATAGATGCTATTGAACTGCAGTTTGATATATTAAGTATAGAGGCAATTTAACAACTCTACCCAGGAATACCTCTATAACTTAAATGAAGATTAAATATTAATCCACCTTCAGTAACCTTGTTTTTTCTGCTGTAACACCTGCCCATGATTTCCTTAAACACTTCAGGCTATTTAACTGAAACCACTGCACAGCAACTGAGTTCTGTAAAAGGTGTAAGAATTAGATTGAATCTAACTTTGTGTTTTTCCTCAGACATTTCTTTTCCTGGGGAAAAGAATCTGTGCAGTGTGCTCATGATTAAGACTTGGAGAAGGTGTCTTCACCAGAGCTCCCCCTTGGAGCTCTGGCACAGGAATGAACTCCTGAAGTACCAGATGTGCCCCTCGTTAGCAAAGCGAGCTGTAACATACCTGGGTCATCTGCCACAGCCTGCTCAGTGGGCCTGGGGAGCAAAGGGAAGGCAACAGGTTACTCTTCAATTCACACTCCCTTCCTTTACTAAGGCCATGAAACCCCCATTTCCAGTATGGTCTCCCAGAAGGGGCTGCCCCAGGGGTGGGAGATTCGGAGAGGGGGATCCCAACAGCCACCGCCGCCTGCCCATTCCCCTCACCGTGCGGACACATCCTGCAGCTCCTGCAGCTCCTGCAGCAAGGCCTCGGGCAGCAGCCTGCGCTTCTGCGGGGGAGAGAGAGGGGAGTCAGGCGGGCACGGACACGGCCGGCACACAGACACACACACACAGCCGGGGCGTAGCGCGGTACCTTCTGCTCCGCGAACAGCTCCTGGTGCCGCCGCCGCTTCTCCTTCAGCAGCTCCCGGTGCCTGCGGGAAGGCGGGAGCCACCGTCAGCATTCCATGGTGGGAGAGGGGGGATTACGGGCGGGGACAAAGGGGGTGAACGAGGGCTTGGAGGGGCTTGGAAGGGCAAAGGAGGTGGTGAGGAGGGGCAAGTGGGGGGATACGGGAGAGGGAATAGGAAAAGTGAAAGGGGCTTAGAGAGGTGAAGGGGGGGAAGGGGTTACGGGCGGGACAGGGAAGGAGAAGAGGCCAGGGAGGCCTAAGAGGGGTGGTGGGGTAAGAAGGGAGGGAAAGGAGACAACAAGGAGACATAAGTAGAGATAAGGGAGGGAATAAGGGGAGGATAAGAGGGGGAAAGAGGCGTGTACGGGGGTAAAAAGGGATCTAAGAGGGTGAGAGGGGTGGAGGGGGGGATTAGAGAGGTAAGCGAGTGGTTAGGGCGGCGGTAAGAGGGGTGAAAGGGGAGATGAGCGGGGCTAGGCGGAGGGGGTAAGAGGAGGGAAGCGCTAGTGTAGGAGCCGCCGTTCCGGAGCAGGAGGCCCCGGCGTGTCCGCACCTCCGCGCCGCCTCTCCCACGAGCTTCCGCTCGGCCTCGGCCGCCTCCCTCGCCACGCCGAAGGGCACCTCCTCCGGGGCCTCGTCCTCCGAGGAGGCCGGGCTGGGCAGCGCAGCGGGAGCCCTGCGCTTGCCCGCGGCCGCCGCCTTCGCCTCCTTCGCCTTCGGCCGGTGCGCCATGGCTGCGGCCTCTGTGCCGCCTGCCCCGGAACCGCTCCCGCCTTCCGCCGGGGAATGCCGAGCGCCGGGACACCCGCCCAGCCCCGCCCCGCCCCGCGGGATGCGCGCACACACAATACAGGACACGGGAGGACAGTACAGGACCTCGCCCCGCCTTTATTGCCGTGGGACGAGTCCCGCCGCCGCCTCCGGCCCGCCCGCCCCGCGCTGGGCCCCGCCGGCCCCGGCACTCCGGGGCTGATCCCAGGGCTCAGGTGATGATCTCCGTCTCGTGTCGTGCCAGTGCCGGCGGCAGCGTGGTCCCGCAGGGGCCCGGGAAGTGGAACCTGGAAGGAAGCGGCAGGTTTAGGGCGCGGGCAGGCACTGGCGCATCCCGCTGCTTGACCTGGCGGGTCTGGCGGGGGCACGGCAGGGACGGAGGGAGGAAAGACGAGGAGGAGAAAGGAGTTTAGGCCTTGTGGGGCGTAGGGACAGACTTCAGCCTCACCCTTTAAATAATACGGTTTGTGTCTTAGATGAAAATTTCACCATGGAAGAAGAAATCTTTTTTCTTGCTTTTTAACAGAAACTCAATATTTCATAAGGCCGGGAGGCAAACTAGACCGTATTTGTCTAAACCCAGCGTTTTGGCAGCTGGACCAGGGGCAGGAAGGAGGGGACTGAAGGCGTTCCCTGAGCAGAGTTACCTGAACCTGTCGGTGGCAGGAGTGGTTTCCATGTTGAACTCCGCGACCGGGACTCCTCTGGCCGAGACCTGCGGGGCGAACATGGCCGCAGGATACACCACGGACGAGGTCCCGACCTGCGGGCAGTGGGACAGGAGTCACAAGGGTAGTAGGACAGCACTCAAACAGACCAAACCAACCCAGCCCCGAGGTGAGGGCCCTTCTCACAATTGTACGTGCACTGAAGCCTAGGAGATGCCTACAGAAATGAAACCAAATCAGTACCTGATCGGTGTCACTGCAGATGTAACTATTTAATTTAGCACAGCAATTAGGAATTGTTTCTCTGATGCAGCCCAAAGAAACCCATTTGTAACTGTAGATGGGAAAAAAAATCCCAGAAAAAAAATGGCACGCTTTGTCTTCAAGGAAAAATAACAACCCAACAAAACTTTCCTTCTGTTACTTTAGGTCATTCTGCAAATGGAAGAGAGTCTAAGTAAGTGTTTTGGTTAGGGATCTGGAACGTACAAGGCATGTAAAGCACCTTGCAAAAAGCAGCACATTATAACTTACTTCCTTTTCAAACTGAGCATCAAAATAATTGTATTTTTTACTGTTTGAGAAATTAGAACAACAGAACAGTTTGGATTGGAAGAGACCTCAAAGATCATCTTTCCAACCCCTCTGCCATGGGCAGGGACACCTTCTACTAGCTCAGGTTGCTCAAAGCCCCATCCAACCTGGCCTTGAACGCTTCCAGGGATGGGGCACCCACAGCTTCTCTGGGCAAGCTGTGCCAGTGCCTCACCACCCTCACAGTAAAGAACTTCTCCCTATATGTAATCTAAAGCCACTCTCTTTCAGTTAAAAGCCATCATCCCTTGTTCCTGATGAAGCATCCCTCTCTGGCCTCCTTGCAGGCCTCTTTCAGGACTGGAAGGCTGCTCTAAGGTCTCCCAAGAGCCTTCCCTTTTCCAGGCTGAGCAACCCCACTCTCTCAGCCTCTCCACAGGGAAGGTGCTCCAGTGCCCTTATCAACAAAGGCTCTCCTCTGGGACTTGCTCCAACGGCTCCATGTCCTTATGCTGGGGGCACCAGAACTGCCCATAGTATTCCAGATGGGGTCTCACCAGATCAGAGTAGAGGGGGAGTGAAATTCAGCAGCCAGACAGCATTGTCTAATCACTAACCCCAGTGTACTTGACTTCTGAGTAGTCTGTGTACATTTTCAAACTGAAAGGTCTTTTAATGTTTTGCACTGACACCAGAGAAGCCCTCTGGGGCTTTCAGTTCCCTCAGGGAAGCACAGATACATCTGCTTTGCCCAGGAGTTGCCACGTCCCTAGCGTGGCCTCCCTGGCGGTTCAGAGGACAGGTAAGGAAAGCGCCACTCACGACCAAGCAGAGGTCACAAATATCCAGCTCCTTCTCCACCGCCGTGAGCACGCCGGGATCCAGGGCTTCCCCAAACCACACCACGTGGGGCCGCAGGAGCCCATTGCAGCCGTCCTCCTCACACCTGCTCACACACCACACAGGGACAGGTCAGCAGCGCTCCAAGCTGCAGAGCGGCAAAGCAGATCGCATTCTCCCCTGGGCAGGTCTTAGCTGCCATCATCCTCTCTCCTCCTCCAGAGCCCTCCCCACACCCTGCTCTACCACGTGCTGGACAGAAGGCAGATCATTCCATGCTACACACGTGCTGGAAGTACACAGGTACTGCATGATCGCAAGGAAGGGGGTGCTGAACAGTTGTTCAGTACAGACACTTAATTGTGTCTTTCTCTTACGCAGCTCCTGAAATGCATGAAAGTTAAAACTCAGCCTCCATCAGCTTTAACAAACTAGCTGACAGGGTTTTAAGGAGAAAATGACCCAAAAGACAGAAGCATCTTGTTAGCCTCTTTTTCCTTAGGAATCAGATGAACAATGTGGCTTTTTCCATCTGCAACTAGCTAAGGCAAAGCTTCAGGCAACATACAAAAGCATCATGGCACATTCTGTGCCTGTGAGGGGACCCCACCATGGTAGTCCAGAAAAACACTGGGTAACATCTGCAAAGTACCAAAACATTTACTGCTGTAGCACTCACTTTCTTGCTGCAATTCTCCTACTACTTCACTTACTACAAACCCCAGGAATGTGGCCACGTTTCATCTTGGTGCTCAAGTACACAAATGTGTGATGCCTTTAGCACCATGGTAACTTCTACATGCTCCTTTGTCTGATGCCCCTGTAACTTTAGACTCAGTTTCCTGGGGCAGAGTTCCAGAGTTGTTCTCATCTTATTGCAGGGGTTCCATACTGTTATCTCCTATCGCAAAAGTTTCATACCTTCTTGGTGTTTCTCATGAGTAGCTCCTCAGAGCACTGACTCTTTCTTCTTCACAAAGTAGCCAACTGACCAGTTTTCAACCACCCCACTCTTTTATAGCACTCTTCTTCTCATTGGTTACAGCTGTGGCCTGTTAAAGTCAGGCCTGTTCCTAATCTTTGATAATTGGCGCAGCTGCAACTCCTTAGGGGTAAGATTACTTTCTACACTATCTTTATTTTCTTATATTCTGTCCCCCTACACAGAGTTCTTTGTCTCCTGTGGAATGTCCTTCCAAAACAACATGAACAGTAACATGAAGCTTTGAGATGCACAAAGCATGAAGAGGTAACAGCCCAACAGAGTGGTCCATACGTACTGAGGAAGGTCTTCAACTGGAATGGCAGCATCTTCTGTGTCAGGATCTGGAGCCCTGTAGTCACAAAATGGAAATACGTGTTCACCAGTACAAAAGGTATTTTATATATTAATAAAAACTTAACATTCTCTAAAAACCTTCATATTCTCTGAAGCACACCCTCCAATCAAAGAATCTGCAACTTCAGCCAACTTGAACACCTACTACAATCCTAAAATACCATACATGAAGCAGGCAGGAATTTGTCCAGAATTATCCTGAAGCTGAGTAACTTTAATAAGCTGGCCAAAACTGTCAAAGGCACAACAACTATTTATGTAATTATCTAAAGGTCTGGTGAAATGTAAAGGGAAAAAAGTTCTAAAAAATCTTTGAGTATATGCCTGGCCCATCCCCCTGCTCACTTGCTCTTTTAGTGGTGAAAGAAAGAATGGATTACCCCTTCCCAGCCAACGCGGGGCAGATCGGGCTCTTGTAATTCGCAGCTACGTTTCCACAGCTGGTGCACCGAGTTTTAAATAAACTCCCTGGAACACACAAAGAGGGAACATCAGGGATGAAGCAATGGCTCTGAGGTGTGGCTGTGCAGGCAAGTGGTTGTGTTTATCCTGGGCAGCTTCTCTTTACAGACCTTGAAGGCTGTGCCTTGTAGGTAACTAACAACAGGAATGCAACAGCAAAGACAGTCCCACTGTGCCACCTTGTTCTGCCTCAGGACATGAGGAATACACAGTCCCATAACATATTTTGCAGGAAAATCATAATTTAAAATATCACTGAGGGAGATGATTTCTGTTTATTGCTTTTCCTCTTACATCAGAAACATTTTCTTTAAAAAATAAAATATGCTGGTCAACACCATTTTGTTTGATGCAAAACTCCACCCACAAAACTTCTGTAGCATTACTAACATGCTGTCAAGATGTGTAATATAGCCAAGAGCTAAAAATTGTGTCCATTTTGTAAGGAATACAAATAACCAAAATTAAACTCTTGTCAAGACTTCATTGGGTCCACAGCTGCTAAATAGCTTGTGCAGGTTTCCTGTGTCCAAAGCACAAAAGTGGTGGTGGGAAATCCCATTTACACCTTTAGTGATACTTGAGTTAAAAAGCATCACATGACTGGAGGACCAGGATGGGTCTTTGTCCTGGGAGACTTCTACCCTGTGGCAGGGCCTGAGAAGTGAAAAATCACAGAACCACAGAATAATGAGGTTGGAAGAGACCTCTAAGATCAAGTCCAACCTATGCCCTAACACCTTAACAAGACTATAGCACCAAGTGCCATGTCCAGTCTTTTTTTAATCACATCCAGAGATGGTGATTCTGTGGGGTCAGCTCCAAGGGCTTCCACACCCTCTTCCTCTCCACACCTGTACACTTCCTCAGATCCCACACTCCCGCTGACCCCCAGAGTGCTGCACCTGCCATGTGCTCCTCTGGCACTTAGTGGGAGTAAGGAATACCACTGACTACAGGGAAGAGAGGGGGAGGGCCACTGGCTGCAGGAAAGAAAGGTAAGGGAATCTCAATTGTTTCCAGTCCCTTTGTCCTCCTGTAGCCAGGAAGTGCACAAGTGAGAACAGGACAGAGGCAAAGCACCAGGACTGGTGAGGCCAGGCTTGCCAATACACCCTTTACTGGTGGCA